TAAATATCTACAGCGAGAACCCGGGTAGGGTCGTGTAATATGGTGGTGGGTACCCGGGTAATAAATTTGGCCCCGTCCCAGCCCAAAACTAACCATGATTGAATTAATTCATGTAATAGAATTATGGTAAACTGTTCTCAGCCGCGGCACCAATGTACTTCTAGTGCATGTACAACGTCCGTGTTTGTGAACACAAACAAGGGCAAAGAAGCCACTAGTTGAATAATATGGATCATGTCAATTATTTGATTTATGCCCCATAAATACCATCAGCCTTGGAGCTATCATTAAACCTTCTCGGTGTAACATACTTATTGTTTAATCTATCGTCACAACATAGTCGTATTGGTTTGATTTAGGACATAATTACCCATAAGCGTCCAGTATATTCTTACGAAACACGCAACATGAAGACTGGATTGCATGGATATGTCAGCAGCTTACAGCTGATGTACACAGCATGGCCACAGAGAGGATGGTTAAAGATCAAAGATGCGATGATATGTCATATGAATTATATTCGCGCACACTTATGACACTTTTGAGAAAAACCATTGCTTGACATGATGACATGCTGGATTATATTATATTATTACTTCATCATAGTGAAACATGGTGTTTGACTTCATATATATATAAGATGTACTGGAATATGAAATTATTAAAATGTGGCTGGATTATATGGTGTAGTGAATTACATTTGTAAAAAGGAGTTAAATATTATAATTCGGAAGATGAAGTAACCTATCATCACTATCATAATCATCATTGGTAGTAGTAGTAGTAGTAGTAGTAGTAGTAGTAGTAGTAGTAGTTGAAGTGAGTCAGTGAATTGAGTTTAACGCTATTTTTACAGTTATATCGCGGTGTGTCAGCTTAACGTGGGAGGAAAGCCCGAAGTGATGCAGGTCTCAGACGTTTATCACTTTGGTGAAACCCACGAGCACGGGTATGGTGCTGACAAACCTCGAAACATAATCGGGGCGAACCGGAATTCGAACCCACAATCATAGGTTTCTGACGCAACTCTGCAGAACGATTAGCGGCGCCTCAGACGGCTGGGCCACCCCTGCCCCCGGTAGTAGAATTATTACTACTAGTAGTTGTGGTAGTAGTAATGGTAGTAGTAGTAGTAGTTGAAGTAGTAGTAGTAGCCATTGTTGAACACGGCTTAAAGCACATACTACATATGGTCATGATAACATATAATCAAATATACGTTATGAATGAACAATTAATATTGTAAGAAGATAGGAAAATAACACGTCTTTACAAACTTTAACTTTATGTATATAGAATATTTGAAACAGCGACCCGAGGGTGTTAAATTTCACAAGGATAAGTGTTCGTAACGTGTTTTTACGTCGTACAAAGTGTAACGCTGAGTGATTCTGTATCTGCAACCTCTTTGAGCACTCTGCTTACTTTACAGTACCGACACCAACGATGTCGACACGAGCTTCATCCAAGTTATTAGCTGCATGCTTGATTTAGGAGATTGTCCAAACGTTCGCCAACATGGGAGTACGACATCATTAAGATGTTGTTCAGTGACTATATAATTATGGAATTCTTGTCGATAATCCAAATTTTTGTGGACATAATTATCTTCTTTGTTAATATCCTATATGCAAGGAGTGAGTGAGTGAGTTAAATTTTACATCGCATTGGCAATATTTCAGCCATATAGCGATGGGAACTAGGTATCAAATCTAAAATATCTGTCGACAAAGGACAGTAAAATAGTAAGGTATATCACAGTTTTTAATAAAACAAACTAGATCATAATTTCTTAAAAAAAACATATAGCTATAATAGATTAAATCCTATCAATTAAAACAAGGCTATAAACCACTGATAACCAAAGTTAGACCACCTTACTGGAGATCATGGGGACTTACAGTACCTATGCTTCCTGCATGACTCCCCAGCAGGATGTATGTCATCACTTTGGCTACCAGAGGCTGTACCTTATGCTAGCCAATATTAAAAAAGACAATACAATCTAAGTTCTAAAACACAAGTCAATATTACTTACCTTGATCGAAAATGGTTTTACGTGGAACTAGCAGGAGGACAATTTTTTACGCTACTTTAACCACTACATATGCAAGGAGTTGAGAGATGTACACAGTCACATGTGTTTGAATCTTGATGTCAGTAATGTTTTAGAGTTCTTTCGAATGGGTGGACCTTTGACTTATGGTTTGACGTCGGCCTTTATGTTTGACGTCCTTAGTTTGAAGCCCGTTCTTGTTTTTCTTTTGTTTTTGTTATTCTTGAATATTTCCGTCCATTGCTTCAAAGACGCTCGTGCTACATTCGCACCAATGTTCATCGTATAGCGTATGCTTAACTTTGTGTTTATGTTATTACGTGAAAAATGAATTTCCTGTATTTTTTATGAGTTAAAACGGCGTAAATATCAAACGTCAACGCTGGAGAATAAGCAGTCACGATTATCCGCCGAAACAGATTCTATTTGGCGTAAAAGGCAAAAATCGGTCGAAACACCACATAAAAAATGGTTTGATACTGTTTGCAACTTGAAAGTTATCAGTAGATTTGTCGGCGCTAAATTGAATTTGGACAGATCGCGCAGAGAGTGGTTTTAAACGTTATATTTAGCTTTCTGTCGTCCCCTTTATTGAAATACACAAATCTAGTCGATCTCTATCGTGTTTTCTGGCCAAAGTATATCGCCACACATACCTTGAACATTGCTGAAACAGCACTTGATTGAGAAAGATTTCTTGAAATATTTTATCCTCGTGGAAGTGTTCCGTCATTCAAATCAGAGGATGTAATTGTGATTTGAAACTCTGATTAATCCATTATACTCACTCACTCACTCACAAAGGGACTAGCTATCTTGATAGGTAGCATTATCAACTTGATTTTGTACAGACCGCTGGGATATCGGGGCTGGCTCCACATCAACTAGACGAGACCGCCTCCGTGGTCTAGTGGTAGAGCGTCCGCCCAGAGAGCGGAAGGTCCGGGGTTCGATCCCCGGCCGCGTCATACCAAAAGACGTTAAAAGATGGTACTTGTTGTTACCCTGTCTGGCTCGGCATTAAGGGGCTAAAACAAGGACTGGTCGGTCCGGAGTCAGTATACAGGTCTGAGTGGGGTATTCATGTTAAACTGCGACATAGTATCTCAGTGACATGAGCTAGCACTATAAATCGGCATCAGTCCGATCTAGTACAAGCAGCCACACACACACACACACACACACGTGCATGCACGTCGCTATATAAGTGCAATAATCTTACGCGACGTTAAACCCCCTTTCACCTCACCTCACCTCCACCAGACGATCCCATGTACTTATAACTTAAACCTGTGGCTACCCGTAGAGCAGGACATGCCTCCCCTCTCAGCGAACACCTGGTGTCATCACTGATTTTCAGTTATCAATTCATCACTATTTTGACTATTATTCAAATATAATCTGTTGGGCAGATAATCGACTGATTATTCTCTGACGTTGACGTTTTAAATTTACTAAATTGCCGCAGCATACCATGAGAACGCATATCAATATAAAAACATATATTTCAGCATTTCAATGTTTAAAGCGGCGTTAGACCAAACTCACTCACTATAGCATTTCAGGGAGTGATAGCGTTTACTTAGACGTAAGGTCGTCAGAAAACAATCTTTCAGGGGGGATTGATGAAAGTTTCTTTTTCTGCCACATGTAACAGCTGGTTTAGATTATCAATAATATATAAAACAACTATATAAAGGAACATATACGAAAATATCGTTAACATCATCATGACAATTATGGACAAATCAATATTTCGTGCTGAACGCGCGGAGAGAAATCGCTGCTGTGCTTCTGGATGAACTTCTTTCGTGTATTACTGTGTTATCCTTCAATGACAGTTACTTCACATCTTATCTGTCTCAAATCAGTCTTTCCTCTACAATTAGTTTATCGGCATCTCATATGAATAACAGGTACGTGAACAGAGGCTCTTGTGGTGCCAAGAGTATTCTCTGGAACATCGACCCACTTATATACATAGAAATTAAAAATGGTAATTATTTTAAGGTTTGCGTGAGTAGTTATTGTTACGCGTCGTTAAAAGATTGGTATCTGTTCATGTATTGGCATAATTTCCAATAAGATTGTTAATTAGAAAACAGAAAATAATTAAAACTCGGTTCTGTAAATGAGGCTTCCACAATATCAAAATATAAGTCATAAAACTCTTGTTAATGAATGTGACGCATCGTGATATGTTTTTTCCTATAAAAAGTTTTTAAAATAAAATATTAGTATTCATAAATCTGTATATCATGGAGCTGATATTAGTTTATGTCATAGGTAAGTTATCACGTTGTTCACCATACACATACTCCATCCCAATCCGCATCAACCATCCCCATCCGCATCAACCATCCCCATCGCAACGTTCATCTACATTTAACGACGTTACGTATGTAAAGTTCTTAAATACATTATTAATATCGCCATCCAAATCCCTCATCGCCATCCACATCACCATCATATCCGCACCCCCATCCTCAGCCCCATTTAACTATGCTCCTATAAAAGTCTTACAAAATTATTAATCATATTTAATACCTGTAAAGTAGCGAGCTTATGTGAAAGCATATTTAGAAACGGCTTTCTTATCAACTTGCTTAACGGTGTAAAAATATACATCGAAACGTCGCTATATACAATAAACTAGAAGTTTGTTGTTTTTTTAATTTACTCACCAACTTCTACAATGCCAAACAAACAGTTCTCAACTTGTTCGTCAACCAACTCCCATTCCCCATTCAACTCTCTTCCTCGTGAAAAATCTTTGAAATACAATATCATAAATTATAATCGATACCTGTAAAGCATCGAGCTAGTATGTGAGCATGTTCGGTGGTGCGTAGTTCGTCACCACGTCCGTTACTTTAATCAACACCCCATTCCCAATGACACTATATGTAGATAAACATGTGAAGTTGGACAAAGTTTCACTTACCATAGAACCATCCCATTCAGAAGCAGAAGAACACAGACGGAAAAGAGAATCTTCACAGTCTCCATTGTCTGAATATCGTGGACACTGTGGCTGTATCAGGGTGCCGGGTCGTCTGCCTCGGCCGATCTGTCGTCTGCGTTCAAGTTTAAAAGTGGATGATGACTACACGCCAATCAGTTTTATATCTACAGATTCTATGACATGCGCGGACGGGCCGCTGATCTGGAATCGCATGATCAATACAAGTTCTTAACAAGCGCTACCAAGCTGAATGGACTGAGCGGAGGAAGACATTTCACCATTGGTTGAACTTTTGGGTTGGTTCCAGTGGCGTTAATAGATGCGCACGACAGGTTGATAAGTATTATTTTGTTGTCTGGTATTTGCCTTACAAATAAGTGCCGAAATGGTGTTTGGAGATAAACAAGTCATAAAATCCTTGGATGGGTGATTGCGACTTGTTCTGATTGCTTAAAGGGGAAGTGTGGGATGAGATGTCGAAGAAAGGTGTCGGGATTTTGGCAGTAAAAAGGCTCGTATGTTAATTCCGGCATTATAAAACTTACTTTGGTGATCCTGTGATTGCTTTTAACGACGCTGTCGATATCAGTCGTATGAAGCATTCACAGAAGCGAAGTAAAGTATCGTCTGCCGCCTGCAACAACTGTAATTTAAAGAATCATTAATTTGGTTAAATGATCGAAGGCATATGAGCTTACATTGTCTGTAATTGCGCGAGGGTCGTGTTGTGCATGTAACCGTTGTCTCCGGCCCCTCAGACGAAAAAACAACTGACTGTCAAATTAGGAACAAAGTGATTCAAAGACTTCGTGAAGATCCGGGTTAGAATTGGTCTTCAGCAACCCATGCTTGTCGTAAGAGGCGACTAACGGGATCGGGTAGTCAGGTGCGCTGACTAAGTTGATGCATGTCATCGTATCCCAATTACGTAGATCCATGCTGATTTACAGACCGCCGTCATATAGCTGGACTGTTGTAGCGTGCGGTGTTAAAAACCAATCAAATTAACAAACAAACTATCAAAAAAAGTGATTCTTAGCCTTCCTTCACGAAAATCAAATTTGCCATGCGAATATATATCCTGCTCCTCAGTTTAACGGAAACATTTCTGTGAACTATTTGACAGCCCTGGATGTCTCCGAGCGTAAAGGTAGTCTTATTATTCCGGTGTCAATGTAATGTGGGAGGAAAAGTCGAAGCGATGCAGGTCTTGCAGGTTTTTAACTCTTGATCACGATCATGGAGCTGAAAAACCGAGAAACATAATCAGGATGTATCTTGGATTCAAACCCAGGATCGAAGGTTTCTGGCACTCTACGGCGGCCAAACGCTGCCCAAACACGGAATAACAGTGTACCAACACGCTGGTATCCGTTTACAGTGTGTAATGCTTTTAATCGGAACTCGGAAGCCCTGATTCCAGAGGAGCTGTTTACAAACGCAGTGCATGTCCGCTTGAAACGATTTGGTTCGGAGTATAGGGGTTACACTGTATACAATGTGTCGCAACGCACCTGTAGCGTGTCCTATTTTCGTCACAGGAATTTGAATAATCACACTGCTGTGCTGTGCTGTGCTGTCCTGGGTTGTGCTGTGCTGTGCTGTGCTGTGCTGTGCTGTGCTGTGCTGTGCTGTGCTGTGCTGTGCTGTGCTTGTCTGTTTTTTTAAGGGCGGTCGGGTAGCCTAGTGGAATAACAAAGAAAGAAGAAACACTTTCACAATCGTAAGAAATTCATTTTTGAGGGGTCAATTCCATATTTCAAATGTATACTTTCTTTTGCTCGGTAGGGTACATTGCATCGACCTGATAATAATCGAGGCCTACTCCGTCGGGGCACTTTAACACGAAATCGATCAAGTCATCGCTCCGGGCCACCCAATCCACAATAGTCGCCTCTTACGACAAGCAATAGAGTTTATTACCTGATTTAACCGCACGGTGCTTGAATTATAATGGTTACTGAACTCATGATGGCCTCCAGCAGTGATCCGTATCGTATCGTTATCACAGACATCAACACAGGGGTAGCAACACGCTCAATATACTCTCATTAAAGATTGTGACCTTTCATGCTCACAACTAATATTGGTGAAACAGCTGTCACAAGCTTTGCTTTAGTGAACCGACCGTCGGGAAGGTTCACAGTGCAGCTTTTTTCTGAACAACCTGCGACTGTTAACACACATTCTGCGCGAAACATTGTAACATGAAAGTCTATCCCCCTTACTGTCAGTGAGTGAGTGACTTTGAGCACTTCGAGCACTGTTTCAGTTATATCACCGCCTTCACAATAATTTAAGGCGCCTTAGACTTCGGGTAACCCGTAAACCACCCAACGCCCTCCCGCACCCGTACCCACATCCACAACCACAATCAGACTGCACTCCCACCCACACCCACACCCACACTGCACCCACATCCACATCCACACCCACACCCACACCCACACCCACATCCCCCCACACCTACACCCACACTGCACCACCCCACCCCACCCCATGAACACACACACACACACACCACTTACCAACACCTACACTCAAACCACACCCACACCTACACTGCACGCCCACCCACACCCACACCCACACTTCACGCCAAACAACACCCACACTGCACCCCTACCCACACCCACACCCACACCTACACCCACACTACATCCCCTACCCACACCCACATCCACACCCACACCCACACCCACACTTCACGCCCACCAACACCCACACTGCACCCCTACCCACACCCACACACACACGACCACACACCACACACCAAACACCCACACCCACATCCACATCCAAACCACACCCACACCCACACCCACGCCACACGACAACCAACACCCACACTGCACCCCTACCGACACCCACACCCACACCTACACCCACACTGCAGCCCCCCCCCCACACACACACGACCACACACCACACACCAAACACCCACACCCACACCCACATCCAAACCACACCCACACCCACGCCGCACGACAACCAACACCCACACTGCACCCCTACCGACACCCACACCCACACCTACACCCACACTGCAGCCCCCCCACACACACGACCACAAATCACACACCAAACACCCACACCCACACCCACACCCACACCCACACCCACACCCACACCTACACCAACACCAACACCAACACCCACACCCACACCCATACCCACACACCACACACCACACACCACACACCACACACCATACACCACACACCACACACCACACACCATACACCACACACCCACACCATACACCACACACCACACACCACACACCATACACCACACACCACACACCATACACCATACACCACACACCACACACCATACACCACACACCATACACCATACACCACACACCACACACCATACACCACACACACACCACACACCATACACCACACACCACACACCACACACCATACACCACACACCATACACCACACACCACACACCATACACCACACACCACACACCACACACCATACACCACACACCCACTCCAACACCCAAACAGGAACCCACACGTTTTACTATAAGCTGACGCTTAGTCTCTGAAAAAATATATTATTGTTCGAATCAAATAATTCAATTTTATTGAATATTCCTGAAAATTCTTGCTTCATTTATGTATTTTACAGAAAGGTTTGGCGGAAGCGAAAATATTATGATTTAGTGACTGAGCGACAGACCTGTTTTACTGTACCAAGTGCACTTCTATTTTGTTTACACTAATGGTGTTTACAACAGGCAATGTAAATAATGTAAATTATTATTCTATTGTGTGCTCTTACAAAACAAAACCCGCAGAAATCAATGGTATGTGTCATCATCCATCTTCTCATTGTCCAAATTGTATTACTTTTCATCTTTCTCGGATAAATACGTTGACGGATTAGGCACCTGGTAATTAGAGTTTCATAAAAAAGAGTAGGTGTGAAAATCGGGCTTTAAACATCTTTCTCTTCAAGGTGAATGCATAAAAAGTTCCTCCGCCGAGACATTCGATTTTGTCTCTCCTTTTATTCCTACAGTTTATTCTTCAAAGTCATAGTCGATTTCCTTGACGTACCAATACATGCTCGTATTTGTGTTGGAAGTAAGTCATCAGTTATTCTTCATAAAGGGTCTAATGGTTAAAGCTTTGGCTCCTCACGAGAAAGACCGGGTTCGATTCCCACATAGATTCAAGGAATGAATCTTTTCTTTAGGTGTCATCTGCCGTATTCACTGTTCCTGCTTGACAGTTTATACATTCTTCATCACTCGTCTATCATGCTACATCACTCGTGGACACATGCATCCGTTATTGGTGCCAGTTGATGGACCATTTCAAGCCATGACCAGGCTCCCGCGATAGGGAAACAAACCGGCGAGGGATCTGGCCAGATACCATCAGTACTTTGTCTCCTACTTCAAGTGTCATATCCAACCGGCCTCTATTCCACACATTGCTTCAATGCCAAGCTACACGCGAAGATCCGGGTTAGAATAGGCCTTCATCAACATGCTTGTCGTAAGAGGTGACTAACGGGATCGGGTGGTCAGACTCGCTGACTTGGTTGATGCATGTCCCAATATCCCTATTGCGTAGATCCATGTTGATGATATCAATCACTGGATTGTAAGGTCCTGACTACTTACTTACAGACCAGATTACTTACAGACCGCCGTCAAATAGCTTGAATATTGCTGAGTGCGGCATTAAACAACAAATAACAAGATAAACTTCAATCTCAACCATGCACAGAGTAGAACTCATTTGATTTCTGTGACCCAAATAATGTCCTGGAATTCCCCATTTTTACTTGTATCATATGTCATAACAGGTGAATAACCGACTTGCCTTTGCATGTGTTTGTGAGGGGCGCCACCGGTGGGGCAGAATACGCTCACCTTATCGCCAACACTTGGCCCTGGTACCATCACTATTTGTTAGTGATTCATAAACACATGCTCGTGATGAAGCCGGAATCGTTCAATGGCTTTCAGGAGAGATTTCTAATGATTATGGAAAAGGTTTTGTCCCTATTAATTACACACGACCATCTTTACCTGACTGAAAATAGACACAAGTCAGTGCTACGCCATAATGGCGATGACGGGACGGGAAATCTATCGAGTCTTGTATTGACGGTGACCGTGATTTGACATCCTCCAGGTGAGGTGCAATAGGTTTAACGTCGCGTTATTGCAATTAAAGCGAGTCAGTGAGTAATGTTTTACGCCACTTTTAGCAATATCCCAGCAATATCACGTAGGGGGACACGAGAAGAGGGCTTCACACATTGTACCTATGTAGGGCATCGAACCCGGACCTTCGGCATGACGAGCGAACGCTTTTACCACTAGGCTACCCACCGTTCCACTAAAAGCGACGTGAATGTGTGTATGTGTGTGTGTGATCATGTGCGTGTGTGTGTGTGTGCGCGTGCGTGCGTGTGCGTGTGTAAGTGTGTGCATGTGTGTGCGTGCGCGTGCGTGCGCGTGCGTATGTGTGCATGCGTGTGCGTGTGTGAGTGTGTGCATGTGTGTGCGTGCGCGTGCGTGCGTGTGCGTATGTGTGCGTGCGTGTGCGTGTGCGTGTGTAAGTGTGTGCATGTGTGTGCGTGCGCGTGCGTGCGTGCGCGTATGTGTGTGTGCGTGCGTGTGTGCGCGTATGTGTGTGTGTGTGTGTGTGCGTGCGCGTGTGCGTGTGCGTGTGTATTGTTTTTATGACTGTTTATAATGGTCGGGACTTATACAGTTACAGCCCACAGAGATACCATACTCGCACAGGGGACAGTCTCCCAGCCGACTTACTTTTGTTTTATTCAACGTCTTTTGGTATGACGCGCCGATGATCGAACCAAAGGCCTTCCACTCTCCAGAATAAGCTGTGTGAAAGATGGGTGGTAAGTGTCGTGTCTATAAAAGAAGTTTATAGCGGCCAAATATGGTGTATTGGTGTCGTAATACTCTAAGATCTTGCATATCACTGTCCCCCTGGTTTGTGAATTGTGTTGATGAAGGTGGAAACAGAGACGTTGCACAAACGTCAGCCTCAATTGATGACGTCACAGCAGTAGTGAGGTTGCGACCATTTCATGTACTGGGGAGGCCTGGACTTTATTAAAAACTATAATTTGTTCCAGGAAAAATATGAGAAAAATAAATCAGGTTGTCGTCGTTGTGACACGGCATCCAATGCTAAGGTCCGTCTTGAATCCTTGGTGTTCCATTATGTGGTGTTGATTAGCGGTATTTTCATAACATTCAAACCATCTGCCCAAATTCACAGCCCACTGGGCATATCTTTTCAGGCTCCCCTCGTCTACACTAAGTCACGTTTGATATCACGAGCCCAGATTATTGCCGTTGAAAGCAGATGTTTCTAACTTGGTGATATTTGTGGTGCTGATGTCAAGACCATTTTTAACAATTTGCTTCTTATGTTTTCATACCGGTGTTGGGATCTCGTCAAAAGCTGCGTGCTTTAGACAAGTCTATGATCAATCACTACCTAAGGAGTATGTATTCATATACCACCCTTATACCAGTGTCGTCATTTTTCAATTTATCATTAAATATTTTAAACATTTAATATGCGTGATGAACAAATAAACTACAAGACTCCTTCCTCTTAGATACCGCTTTTTTCAAACTCGTGTATTTCATTTTTGTACAAATATTACGTAGCGAGGAATGGTTATATTGATCTGGCACAGGTTATAACGTTCACTTTACTCTGGCCCCTCACTTCTACAATGGGTCTTAAGTTATAGGAGAAGGAGGCTCCAAGTCCGTCCGCCTGTCTGTCTGTCTGTCTGTATGTATGTATGTTTGTCTGTCTGTCTGTCTGTCTGTCTGTCTCCACATACGTCTGTCTGTCATATGTTTACTTAAATGCATCTGAATCTAAACACGTGACTAAGTCTGTCTGTCTCCACATACGTCGGTCCGTCATATGTTTACTTAAATGCATCTGAATGTACAGTGACGTCACTTCCGAATTCTGCGCCTTCGAATATTGTTTGTTTGTTTGTTGTTTGTTGTTTAACGCCGCACTCTGCAAGTCAAGCTTTATGACGGCGTTCTAAAAATAATCGAGTCTGGACCAAGCAATCCAGTGATTGACATAACGCGCATCGATCTACACAATCGGGATACGATGACATGCATCAACTAAAGCCGCGATTCTGACCACCCGATCCCGTTACGGCAAGCATGGGTTGCTTAAGACCAATTCTAACCCGAAATCTTCACGGGACGCTCCTTCGAATAACATGTAAATCAATCGCTATGTTTGTATATATATGAACGAAAAGTAAGTAGCCGTACATGTATATCGATTGATGTATTCATATTTGAACAAATTTAAGTCAAGCAAGAATATTTCGGATGTAATGAACAGTTCGTAATGAGGTCATGACATATCTAACACTAACTCGGACCATGAACTCGGCTGTAAAGATGGTGATTGACTGTATTTCCAATAGTTGGGGATCACGAACATGACTGTATTTCCAATAGTAGGAGATCACGAACATGACTGTATTTTCTATAGTAGGAGATCACGAACATGACTGTATTTTCAATAGTAGGAGATCACGAACATGACTGTATTTTCTATAGTAGGAGATCACGAACATGAGCGTATTTCCAATAGTTGGAGATCACGAACAGCCGTAAGTCGAACCTCTCGGACCAATGTGCTTGTGTATAAATCACATTAACGGGAGTGTGTATGAATCACAATAATGTGCTTGTGTATAAATCACATTAACGGGCGTGTGTATGAATCACAATAATGTGCTTGTGTATAAATCACATTAACGGGCGTGTGTATGAATCACAATAATGTGCTTGTGTATGAATCACAATAATGTGCTTGTGTATGAATCACAATAACGTGCTTGTGTATGAATCACATTAATGTGCATGTGTATGAATCACATTAATGTGCTCGTGTATGAATCACATTAATGTGTGTGTGTATGAATCACATTAACGTGCGTGTGTAATAGTAGTAGTAGTAGTAGTAGTAGAAGTAGTAGTAGTGGTAGTAGTAGTAGTGTAGTAGTAGAAGTAGGAGAGTAGTAGTAGTAGTAGCAGCAGTGGCAGTAGTAGCGGTGGTAGTGGTAGAAGTAGTAGTAATAGCAGTGGTAGTAGTAGTGGTAGTAGTAGCAGTAGTAGTAGTAGCAGTGGTAGTAGTAGCAGTGGTTGTAGTGGTAGTAGGAGTAGCAGTAGTAGTAGTAGTAGTAGTAGTAGTAGTAGCGGTAGTAGTAGTAGCAGTGGCAGTGGTAGTAGTAGCAGTAGTAGTAGCAGTAGTAGTAATAGTAATGGTAGTAGTAGTGGTAGTAATAGCAGTAGTAGTAGCAGCGGTAGTAGTGGTAGTAGGAGTAGTAGTAGTAGTAGTAGTAGTAGTAGTAGTAGTAGCAGTAGTGGTAGTAGTAGTAGTAGTTGCAGTGGTAGTAGTAGTAGTAGTAGTAGTAGCAGTACTAGTGTTAGTAGTGGTAGTAGTGGTAGCAGTAGCAGTAGTAGTAGTGGTAGTAGTAGCAGTGGTAGTAATAGCAGTGGTAGTAATAGCAGTGGTAGTAGGAGTAGCAGGAGTAGTAGTAGCAGTAGTAGTAGTAGCAGTGGTAGTAGCAGCAGCAGTAGTAGCAGTGGTAGTAGTAGTAGCAGTAGCAGTGGTAGTAGTGGTAGTAGTAGTAGTAATAGTAGTAGTAGTAGTAGTAGTAGCAGTGGTAGTAGTAGTATTTGCAGTAGCAATAGTAGCAGTAGCAGTAGCAGTAGCAGTGGTAGTAGTAGTAGCAGTAGCAGTAGCAGTGGTAGTAGTGGTAGTGGTAGTAGTAATAGTAGTAGTAGTAGTAGTGGTAGTAGTAGTAGTTGTCGCAGTGGTAGCAGAAGTACCAGTTTCTTGTGGTATTGTAACTGTGCATGTCATAACAGAAGACGAATAGTCTTGCTGTGGCTGTGTTGATGGTAGTCGAAGCAGTTGTAGTAGTAGCAGTGGTAGTAGTAGCAGTGGTAGTAGTGGTAGTAGGAGTAGCAGTAGTAGTAGTAGTATTAGTAGTAGCAGCAGTAGTAGTAGTAGCAGTGGTAGTAGTAGTAGTAGCAGTAGTAGTAGTAGTAGTAGCAGGAGCAGTGGTAGTAGTGGTAGTAGTAGTGGTAGTAATAGCAGTAGTAGTAGCAGCGGTAGTAGTGGTAGTAGGAGTAGTAGTAGTAGTAGTAGCAGCAGTAGTAGTAGTAGCAGCGGTAGTAGTAGTAGTAGTAGCAGTACTAGTGGTAGTAGTTGTAGTAGTAGCAGTAGTAGTAGTAGCAGTGGTAGTAGGAGTAGCAGGAGTAGTAGCAGCAGCAGCAGTAGTAGCAGTGGTAGTAGTAGTAGTAGCAGTAGCAATAGTAGCAGTAGCAGTAGTAGTAGCAGTAGCAGTAGCAGTTGTAGTAGTGGAAGTCGTAGTAGTAATAGTAGTAGTAGTAGTAGCAGCAGTGGTAGTAGTAGCAGTTGTAGTAATGGTAGTAGAAGTAGTAGTAGTAGTAGTAGTAGTTGTCGCATTGGTAGCAGAAGTACCAGTTTCTTGTGGTATTGTAACTGTGCATGTCATAACAGAAGACGAATACTCTTGCTGTGGCTGTGTTGATGGTAGTCGAAGCAGTTGTAGTAGTAGCAGTGGTAGTAGCAGCAGCAGCAGCAGTAGTAGCAGTGGTAGTAGTAGTAGTAGCAGTAGCAATAGTAGCAGTAGCAGTAGTAGTAGCAGTAGCAGTTGTAGTAGTGGTAGTGGTAGTAGTAATAGTAGTAGTAGTAGTAGCAGCAGTGGTAGTAGTAGCAGTTGTAGTAATGGTAGTAGAAGTAGTAGTAGTAGTAGTAGTAGTTGTCGCATTGGTAGCAGAAGTACCAGTTTCTTGTGGTATTGTAACTGTGCATGTCATAACAGAAGACGAATACTCTTGCTGTGGCTGTGATGATGGTAGTCATGGTAGTCGTGGCAGTTGTAGTTGAGCAGATGATGCTGCCTGTCGCGTGTGGTTGAGACGCTATTTGTAAATATCGATGGCGCTGATTACATGACTGCGTTTGAGCTTAGCAAGAATATTCGACACCACTCACTCCTTCCTATAACTTGCAAGAAGACTCGTCCCCAATCGAATCAATTGATCAGTTGATCAAATTCTCAACAACAGCCCCAATTCCACGTCAGGTGGCATGTCCGAGGGTTTTTTTGCAGCAACATCATCGTCAACTGCGACAGTCAAGCACGCAGAGTACGCCCTTACCAGCGATGGATAACTGTTTGGATCAGCGACGAGTAAAGATCTCTCTAGCGGCTGACGGATTTCATCACAACAACGTTGGGCTATTCATTTGTCTTACACCTCCAACCGGTTTGTTCTATCAGTGTTGGAGAATGCAGCCCATATCATTACGTTGTCACCGCTAATTCCGTCGACCAGTTTGCAGTTGGACAAACTGTTTAAGGCGACGTCGGAACAATCAGGCTTACCCACATTGCCGGACTCTAAAAGATCATGTTAGATATATATCTTAAGCAAACCGAAATTGTAAATATGAACCAAAGAACGAATCCTGAGAATTTACCACTGTTGTCCAGAGAGACCCTGAATATCAAACTACACTCTGTGGTCTTGTGTCCATTTCCAGCATTGAACGAGACGCAGTAATTAGTACTCTGTGTGAGAATGAGACACCGTCTCTATTTAATCAAGGTAACCGGTCATTGCAAGACTGAAATAGATCGAGAAACGTGAGTTAACAGACACGTAAAGTGTTGTTTGAATGACTTAATTTAAAACGTCTCCGGCCGCCGTTTTGACCAGACCTGAACATCTGTAAGGGTTCAGTACCATCCCTCGGTGACCTTGCAAACGATTCATTTGAATACAGTCACCAATGAACACAGTACGCTTTTAGTTACAAGCCCCATTAGTGACAGTAAGGTGTGGTTGCTGCACCATGAAGAGTTGTTAGCCATTCAGAAATACTGGAACACATTTATGGATAATGGGGATTACTTAGGCGCAATGGGCTAACACTAACACTGAAGAAGGCCACACCACATTAACTACACGGCCGACCAAAAGAAAGTATACAGCCATGGTCGCTTATAATGAAACAAAACCGAAATGGTTATTTGATGGCACTGTTTTGGACCTTAAGTTTGCAGTGTTTCGATGACTGTTTTCTGCTCAATGAGCTCATTTCTACGGTGGCCCATAAGGGACATGGAGTCTGTTTTTCAATATTTTGATATTTCACTTACTTTTATCGTAACCTTTTGCAAATTAACACGATTTGTTATACAAATATGTTATAAATCATGTATAAGGAAGATAATGAATCGCTGAAAAGTGAAGCGAAAATGTCAAAAAACTAAAATGAAAATGTCAAAAACAAAAGCAAAAATGTCAAAAACTAAAATGAAAATACAGAAAATGGTGGAAATAGTTTTCTGTATTTTCATTTGAGTTTTTGACATTTTCGCTTTTGTTTTTGACATTTTCGTTTTTGTGTTTGACATTTCCATTTTATTTTTTGACATTGTCGCTTCACATTTCACCGATTCAATAGCTACTTGAAAGTACATTTTCCATGTTTTCGGTTGTTTTTATAATGATTTATCACATATTTGTATGACAAATTGTGTTAATTTGCAAAAGGTTACGATAAAAGTAAGTGAAATATCAAAATATTGAAAAAACAGACTCCATGTCCCTTATGGACCACCGTACACCTCTGTTCTGTAGGTGAAAATGCATTTTAGAAAGGGTGCACATTCTTCAGTGATATAAAGAATTAGCTATTACAGTTTTTTCAGAATATGTTGTCATGAACTTAAAGACCATAGTTTATTACAGTAACATCGTTGACTCGAACTACAGATGTCTCAAAAGTATATTACTATCGAGTTATCTGAACTGAGTGAGTGAGTGAGTGAGTGAATAAGTGAATTACTATTAGTGTTACTATTACTGTTACTATTACTATTACTGTGACTGTTACTGTTACTATTACTATAACTATTACTGTTTCTACTACTATGACTGTTACTATTACTGTTTCTGTTATTGTTACTGTTACTGTTACTGTTACAATTACTGTAACTGTAACTGTTACTGTTACTGTTACTGTTACTATTACTATTACTGTTCCTGTTCCTGTTACTGTTACTGTTACTATAACTGCTACTATTACTGTTACTGTTAGTATTACTGTTACTATTACTGTAACTGTTACTGTTACTGTTACTGTTACTATTACTGTTACTGTTACTGTTACTATTACTGTTACTGTTACTGTTACTATAACTGCTATTATTACTGTTACTGTTAGTATTACTGTTACTATTACTGTTACTATAACTGCTATTATTACTGTTACTGTTAGTATTACTGTTACTATTACTATTACTCGTAATAGGGTGGGTGAGTGAGTGAGTGAGTGTTTGAGTGAGTGAGTGAGTGAGTGAATTATTATTAGTGTTACTTTTACTGTTACTATTACTATTACTGTTACTGTTACTACTACTATTACTCTTACTGTTACTGTTACTGTTTCTGTTACTGTTACTGTTACTATTAGTATTACTGTAACTGTTACTGTTACTGTTACTATTACTGTTACTGTTACTGTTACTGTTACTGTTACTGCTACGTTTACTGTTACTGTTAGTATTACTGTTACTATTACTCGTAACAGGGTGAGTGAGTGAGTGAGTGAGTGAGTGATCGAACCCGAACCCACGGAGTGACCAGCGAACGCTTCATCCACTAGACTACTCCACCGCCCTTTAACAGTAGTAAGCCTGATAGAACCATGTTGCCAAATTATTTTTTAATTTTTAATTTTTTTTATTTTAGTACGGAGTTTGGTAGGGCTATATAATGCACCGTCTTAGGCGATATTTCAAGTCAAATGCGTTGACATATGTTCGGCAAAAGAAAGCATGCACTTGAAAATTTGACAAAGGGATTACAAACATTACAAACGTTACTAGGCTGAAACACTGCAAACACAAAGTCCAAAACAAACCTTGTATACCCGTATAAAAAACATTATCATCTTAAACCATTTCTTGTTTGTTTCATATTTAGCCACCATCAAACATGGTGGGGTACTTCCTTTTGCCCAGCAGTTTAATAGATATCTTTACGCATGTTAACCATTTGCTAAGCCTGTCGTAAGTTTGGATGTGGTTAGATCCCCAGTAATGATGCTGGACTCCTTACACTGGGGCAGGGCGTTCTTTTGTTTGTTTGTTTGTGTTTTGTCGTGTACCGATGGCGTGGAAAAATAAATTCGATGAATTATACTTTTATGCTAAGTTGTTATGGCGGGCGGTGAGTGATTTCCCAATATGACCTTTTTGTAAAATGTGAATTTATCGCGGTAGTGAAGACCCTGACGGACAAAAGAAAGAATACACGCAAACTGATCATGACAATAGCTGCTTCACTCTGTGTGTTGGGACATTGCGACCGCCATTTTTGATTAGGCATCATGTACACGTCACCTGTTGCGAGATACTCACAGACGTGATGCATGTACTATTGCCTATGATAACCGCGTGCAATACATCACCAGTGAATAACCATTCCTTGTTCCATTCGTCACGACAAGGCTTTAACTCACTCACTGTTTGTTCTCACTGTTTGTTTCATTTTCACCCTGAATCAAACATGGTTGCGTGATTTCTTTGCCCCTGATTTAGATTGCCTAGAAAACTAGGATTGGCGGTGACGAACGACACATAATTAAATCGATTTGGCCTAAACTTTAGGCGAGGTAAATTCTGGTTGGATGACCAGTGGCCTGTGAACCACTGATCAGGTGAAGGCTGGATACTGGACACGATGACCGCACACGTCTGGTAGTCAGCAAGCAAGGGAGTTGGGGTTACACCAAACACCACTGGTCAGTTCCTGGACCTCTGTACTGACTCAGTCAAAACTGTCTACAACTGTGGTGACAGTAACATAGTGAAACACATTTTGTGGAAATATAAAACGTTAACTCCGGAGGATAACCACTCTCGAATATCCCCCGAAACAGATTCCACTGGACGTTAAAGTGAAAACAGTGGTGAAAATCATATACATGGATGACTGGAAATCAGTGATGACACCAGGTGTTCGCTTAAAGGGTAAACAGGTCTTTCCCTACCGGTAGTATCCGCAACTTATACAATTTGCATTAAAGAACGATCGTTTGTTTCTTGCATAACGCCGCACACCAAGATAACGACGGCTACCCCCCGACATTCGAGTAACACCTTTACTGATTTGTGTTTCAGTTTTG